GCGGAGGGCGTGCGGCCGTTGGGATGATGATCCGGGGCCGCAGATATCGCATTAGTAATTTAAGCCGCGGTCGAGCAGGAAACCGGCGACGATTTCCACCCTCCACCCACCGTTCTCCTCGCGCCACCCACTTTCGTATCCTTCCACCCACCGCTCCGCCCCGCTGGCCAGATTTCTCATCGCGCGTACCAGCGAGACGCGCTCACCGATTTTTAACGCATTCCGCGCCACCGGAAATTTCGCTTGTATATTGCTTGTGAGTGCACTGATTCTTTAACCCTTAGCACTACAGATGGTTTTGTAATCTAGTAACTGCAACTAATTTTTATAGTATCTCTGGAGAAAATTAGAAATGCTATAACATTTCTTAGATCTTTTATTTTCCTTAGTGCAAAATTTGGATGTGTGAGAAATCTAATTGTAGAGTAGTTTCTTTAAGATTCATTAAAATATCTAACGTTAGTCCCGGTGCAGTATTGGAGCCTACAGAGTTCAAAGGGTTAACACGTTCAATGCATGGTTTCATAGAGCAAGATACACGGAATGGAAGGAGTATACTATTTATGCAATATTGTTATGTTGAATTACGTTATTACTGCGAGTTTGTCTAGCTGAATGTCACGTTGAGTAGCATTGTTTGTATATAGGAATGTTTTCAAGTAATCGTTGAGTTTTCAAGTAATCTATTGAGATTTCAATTGTTATCTTTCCTACATCTGTTATCTTTTTAATCATTGAGAAAAGAGAATCTAGAAGTGGATTTTGACCCACCCGGTAGTTCTAGTGTTAAATGTTAGTTACATTCAAGTCTCTGCTGACGTTCCTCACGTTTTCAGAACGTGTAGCTATCTTATGCCACATGTTTCCTAAGATATATTTCCTCAGAAACATTGGGCGAAATGGTACACATAGAAATTTCAGTTGCACCTTGCTTATAAGTGCACTGATTTTTCAAATATCAAATCACATTCAAGTTTCTGCTGTTTGACGAGAAATATTTTTCCAGGAACCTTGGGCGTGTACCACAAATGGTACACGTGGCACGGAACGTGTCGGAGAACGCGGAAGCGAATGAACGAGGCGGAGCACCCGGTTCCCAGGAATCTGCGAACCTTCGAGGGACCCTGGGCAGGCGTCGGCGCTTTTGTATCGACGGTCGATCGCGCCTGTACCAAAGTTGTTCTCCATTCTTCCATTCCGTTTAGCGGGCGACCGCGTACGACTGCAGCGCGCAGCTCGATTAGCCGGTGAAATCGATCGAAGTGGTTCACGCGTGTTCGTCGATAACACGGGCACGCTCTCGAGGCATTCGGTTCATGTTGCGTTGGAGTACTCGACCGAACCTGAGACCCGGCCATGGTATTTCCGATCGATCAGGCGAGAACCACTCGTCCCCGGCTACTCGAAAATATCGGAGGGGGCGTTTTAAGTTTTCATTTGAAAAAATCCGGTGACCCGCTCCGGGTAAAGATCTTTCGCGAGCGCACCGCGTTGACCCCGATTTCGAGCGTGTTTTCGCCACTTAATCGTAGCTGCGTGGAAGCCTGAAACGATAAACTACAGTCAGGCTCGCTGGAAGAATGGTAGTCCCTTCTTAACGTCGGAGCACCGGCACGGTCATTTTTCTCCGGGGTTTCGTGAGACGTCACAGGCCTGGGAAAATCTTCTGGAAACCGTTCCCAGCCGTTTCGCCATCATTGCAGCTGGCTTCAGGGGTTAAAGACACATTGGTGTGTACTGTGTTGCTAGGAAGATGGTATTTGTAGAGGTGACTAGTGGATCTTCTGGATTAGAAGCTACCAGTAGTTCTTAATTGGTTATCCGAACAATTAAACACTGCTGGTGCCTACTGATCTGCAACATGAACTAGGTAGCAGTTTAGTAGTGGCATCAGTAGTTGCCAATAGCTTTCAATTGGTCAGATGAATAATTCAAAGCTACTGGTAGTATTCTAGTAGTAGCATCAGTAGTCAGTAGTAGCTTCTAATTGCTCAGCTGAACAATTAAACACTACTGGTGATACTACTACTAGACTATCAGTCAGATGACACTGCATTGAAGATCAACGATAGCATAGACAGATTTTCCCATGCGAGTATTTACATGAAACCATTATCAACTCGTCTTGAACATTTCAAGATTAGACCGCATAAATTAGCGACGAGTTTTTCTAAATTACCACAGATGTCACCGTGTTTAAGATCAACATCAGACCCACATAGATTTCCCCATAGTATTTACTTTGATCCTCATTATCGACTCGTCTTCGACGTTTCAACAGGATCAGGACGAGTAAACCAGCGACGAGTTTTGTTCTAGGTTATGGAAGACCCGACGCGACATCTGCGCCGCGAACTATGCTTTCCCGCGCGCACTCGGGCCAGCGGGTGATGGATGATCTCGAGTAAAAGTTGGACACAAGTGCAGACCTGGTGTATACAGCCGCAGTTCCCGCGGTCGTGTAATTAATAGTCCCACATTTGCATCCGGCTGATATTATTCTATGATCAACGAGTGAAACTCGGCCCGGGTGTAATTGAACCGCGCGTCCCATGAAATTATTAATCGAACCGGCACCGAACGAGGATCAATGGGGTCCGTGCCGGTGACAGAAACGTGCCGCCCTCGCCGCTGCATTCTATAGCCTTCCTTCGCCCGGTGAGTAAATACTTGTTCTATTAAACCTTTGAAATATCAATCCCAAATTTCCACGCAAACATTCCAGATTAAATTCACCTATCCGACGAAGGAATGAAAAATTCAAGGGACGATTTACGATCGATCGCTCTGGCCGCAAGAGGATTTTGAGGTTATGTCCTCGACGCTCGACGAATTCGAAGGTATGATTAGGGGAGGCTGATTTATCCGACGATCATAGTCTGAAAGATTTCTGCGGAATTTTATGGGGTAAGGGTCGGGCCGGAACTTGACGGTGTTTACGGGCATCGCAATTAGAGTAACTTTAATTGCTGTCGCCGGACCGGGCACAAACATCACGTTCCTCCCCGACCCTTTCCGTGTCTTCCAGTTAGTGTCGCTGCCAGGGAAATGGGTTGCAGCGAACAATTAACCTTTGGGGAAAAATGCGCGCCGCGTACCTCTCCCTGGCCAGATATAATCGAGGCGTGTTCGTTATTAAATTTTCACTCGGATAGCGGCCCGCCTCGTTATCCCTCCCGATAGTCTGGGTTTCAAATAATGCGCGGCTCGTCTGAGGAAACATTGCTCGCGATACTGTTCCTCCCTGAATCTTTAGCCCTTTGCACTGGGAGGACGACTCTCAGTCACCATTTGATTTGATACAGTGTAGAATCTGATATTTAATGGTGAACTTTGTATGATGTATACAATTAATTGAGTTGTTATTAACACATTGACTGCTGGTCCCAGAAGCCAATTTGGTTCAATTGTATTATATTATTCTTAGACTGGTCCCAAAAGCCAATTTGGTTCGATCGTATTATATTATTTTTAGACTGGTTCTAGAAGCCAGTTTGATTCAATCGTATTATATTATTCTTAGTTTCTAGTTGGCGTTCTAGACAATGCAAACTACGAGTTATCTAGTTAACAGTCATGTTAACCCTTCGCATTCTGAAGTTTTTCACTGTAGATATTCAATATTTTCAGAGGAGACATAGATGACATTGAAACTAATTTAACGATTCACAGATAAATGAAGCAACAAAGCTATTTGATTTAAATATTCCACATAGCAGTACAATTCATTTAGAATACTAAACATTCACTTCATAGTTTCGCTGTATGAAATCAAGTGGTGCAAAGGTTAAATTGTAATTGTAATTCCTCAGTTTCACAGAATGTAATAATACTAAGAAACGCGTATACTAATTACATACACTTACAATTGTCATGCGAGACTAAACAGGTCTCAAAACGCATATACACGTTCACAGTCCATAGCTTCAGTTAGATGCATATATGAACCCATAGCAGTCAAAGGGTTAAACTCGGTCACGATAAAGCAATCGCAGTACTGGTTCTCTTTATATCTATATAAATAGAGGCAAACGAGAAAAATAAACGAACATCGAGCTCGACGTAGGATCGGAAGAAAATCCTGGCGGAAGATTAAAGGAGAAAGAGAACAGAGGAAAGAGAAAGTAAAGGTGAACCGTTGTTACTGCTAAAGTGCCACGAATCGATGAAAGACCCGGAAGAGAGCACGGGTTGCTTTGTAAGGGGACACGCGAAGATTGCACTCGCGAGAAGATCAAAGCCCGGCAATCGGATTACAAGCCGAAAATCCTGAAATAATTCAACGCGACGGCTTGTTCCGGTATTTCGAACGGGTTCACCCGACAGTCTTCCCGAAAACGAGGACAGCGCGACATTGAACAGCCCGTCCGCCCGTCCGGCCGGGGAAGGAAGACAAATTTTTTGCCCCCGATAGATACTCCACCATCGGCGTTGTTTAAACAAAGAAAAAAAATGGAAAACGGTGCTCGTTGATGACCACCGGTCTTAACCGAGCGTTTCCCATCGTCCTCCTAATTGACAGCTGGCCAGAGCCCGATGCTCCCTTTGTTTTTTCCAGG